TCGTGACGGCTGGATTGGAAGTGATGTCCGTGTATGTTCCTCTACGCATGTCGAAGTTCGCTGTGGATCCGCCGGTAGTCGTTCATGAGAAAAGTCCGCCCGAAACTGGGTCGAGATCTCCGTTTTATGTCTCAGTTTCTTATGGTGTGGGTGTAAAACCTGTTCGTGCGTCGGGTATCTGCGTTCGTAGCAAGTGATTGTTGTTGCCTTAGGATGGGTATTGAGGGTGGTCGGTCCGTGTGAAGGAGGTCGTGTTTTGTTTGTGTGGTCGTGTCCCGCTATGTAGTTAGTAACAGCTTAATGTAATTGGTTGTCGATGCTAGGACGTGAGGTTTGAAGTTGTCGTGCATCCGTCGACTGAGATGCTGCGGTTGGATTCAGAGATGTGTGAGAGGTTCGAGAGTAAATGTGTAATGTTGAGGTTGTGAATGTTTACGGGGGGTAGGGGTGGGTCGGGCGTGTCTGGTTTGGGTGTTCGTTCAATTGAGGTGTCATCTGGCTGGCGTGGTGTGTACCGTTCAATGTGTCGATCGTGTTCGTTTCCCGGTTGATTGTTAGCCTTCCGGACATTCCGTGGAGGGGTGTCGTCGTGTGTTTGTCGCGATGGTGTCGGGCGCGCTCTGGGTTCGCCTGCTGCTGTATTCACGCTCCTGGCGTATGTTGATGGTTGTGGGTTGAAGGGGGACGTTCGGTGTGTGTGTGGTGGTTTGTTGGTTGTGTGTTAGTGTCGTCTAGTGTTGTGTGGCTGATTTGGGTTGTGGGTACCACGCGGTATGTGAAGGCCGTAGGGAGGTGTGGTTAGTCGGTACGGGGCGGGCGCAACGCTATACCTCCAACGAATGTCTAACGTTCAATGCACTCTCCATGAGGCGGTTGTGTTCGGTGTGTGGTTGTATGTGTGGTCGTCGTGGGCTGTCGTCGTGTGGTCGTCGGCTGGCCGTGGCGTATGTGTTGCGGGCTGGCGTGTCTGGTCGTATTGTGGGTTCCGTCCGGGAGGCTGTGTTGTATGAGGTGCGTGTGTAATGAGTCCCAGCTTCGGCCTTCCTACAACCCTTATCCACAATAGAAGGTGGATCTCCTCTGTAAGCGTCCGGTCGTGTGTTCGGGGGACGTAGGCAGAAGAAACCTCTAAAGTGTCATCGTGCGTCAGGCGCTGGTGCGTCGTTGTGAATCACGCGTCGTTCGTCGTAATCCACAGTCGAATTCGTCAGTCCGATCTGTCCCTCGCGGCTGGATGAGCAGTTCTCGTTTGGACGTCTTGGTTGGATCTAGATATGTGAGGATTGTTCGCGTGTTGGGTGAGGGTACGGTTGGGTGTGTTGCTCGAATGACTACGCTGTGCGAACACACCAGAACTCTAATAGTGTCGAGGCTCGGATGGAAGATCTTGTTGTGGTGCGCCCGTGATAGCCCGTTTCGTGTTGTTGTGTCGTGTGTGCTGTGACTACACCATCTTCGGCATTCGTAATCTTCCTATATCGAGTTCACGGTCTGTCCGGCGAGTGGATGGTTGCTGTCGGTGATGCTACGCGCGAAATGGATCCTCTCCTATCCTACTCCGTCAGTAGATTTCGCTCTCTTGTCGAAGCAGGTTTTGGCTGTCGTCGCTGTCGTCGTCCTGGGGGGTCGCGCTTCGTGTGTTGCTGGGTCCCGAGTTCGTTGTTCGTGGGTGGAGGTGTGGGTGCTTGTGTGGATAGTGGTATCGTCGTATTCGTGGCAGGGGAGTCCGTCTCGCTCTAACGCGGATAAGAGTGACCGAGTGGATTGAGGTACTTGGTCCGACTTGCGGTTCCGTAGCTGTGTAAAAGATCTGTGTCCAGTCGGTATTCCGTTATAGTCGCTTCAGTGTGGTGATCGGTCAAAAGATCTATGATCGGGGGGGTGTCTTCGCCGTGTGCTGCCTCCTGTGTGTCCGTGGTAGACCTGTACGTGGGTCGTTCGTCGTCTCGTGTCTGTGTGTTGGTTGACGACCTTCCCTAGTTCGGGTCCGCAAGCCGGCGTTGAGGTAGTCGGGTCCGTGTGTGGTCGTTCTGAACGGTATCGGTGTGTGTTATCTCACGTGATAGTCGAGCGTCCCGCAGTTCAGGGGATCCGGACATGCAGTCAAGCGCTCCCTGGAAGAGTTGACCCAGAGGAGTTCGGTGTCTGAGATTTGTAAGGAGTTAGGCAGTGCGCGCTGGTTCGACATTCCGTGTAGTAAGTGATAGTTGCGGAGCCCCTTGGGCGGTAGGACCTCGACTTCCCTGAGCTGTTCGTCGTCTTTGGAGTATCCTGTGGGTTGTCCAGTTAGTCGGGGTCTGTTATCATCCCCCCCCGACGCGAGTCTGTCGTTCTGCGTGCTGGGGTCGAGGTGTGTTGTGTTTCGTGTGCCGCGTCGTACCGGGATTGTCGGCGTGAGATCTTCGGTCGCGCGTTGTTGTTTGCCACGTCCGGGGTCGACTGTCTGCGGTTGTGTCAGTAGCTTGGGAGTGTTCGGCGGCCTCGTTTCCGTGGTGTCGCGTGTGTGAATGTAAAGCGTCTGCATGTTAGTTTTGAGTCCCGCGACGAACGTCGACGTTCAAGCGGTGGTCTCGCTCCATTCTCAACAGCCATCGTGGCGTACGGAGGTGGCTCGGGCAGTGAGTGGTGAGCATAGGTATGGTTTCGCGTGTTGAACGTAGCTCGTCGGTGTGGTATACTATTCGGTCGATGCTGTCTGTCTCGTGTCGGTTTCGTCGTCAGAGGCTCGGCTTTACTGTCGTTTCGTGTTCGTATCGCGGTGTAGTTGTCCCGGGTGGTCGTAGGCGATCCGTTCGGTCCCATCCTGGTCCGGGCAGCTAAGGTATTCGCTTGGCGCGGTTGTCAGTAGGCGGTTTGTTCCGGGGTCAGGATTACAGTCGATTTTCGTTTGTCGTCGCGGGTTTACTTGTCCGGTTTCGGTTGGGATCCTGAAGGTATGTGAGAGACGCGCCTGGGTGTGTCAGTGGTGTCTGGGTTGTGCTGTGTTTCTGCCGTGTTAGGTGTCGCGCCTTGTCGCTGTCCGAGATGTCGCTTGCCGTTGTATGTCAAGATCGTATGTAGTCGTGTTGGCGTCTTCGGTAGGTGCGGTCGAGATTCGCTCGTGAAGGCGTGGTGTCGCTTTCGTGCTGTCGTGTAGATGGGTGGTTCGTCGCTGTCTATTTCTGAATGTGCGTTTGAGTCGGCTTGGGGCGTTGAGTTGCGCTGGCTGCATTCAGGTCGCGAGTAGTGCCGACTGGTCTGGTTTCGTTGATCGATAGTAGAAGGTGTGAGAGTCTTATATGTCGGGGTTGGGAGTTCGTTGTCCGGTTGATGATGGGACGGTTGATGCGATGGGCTGAGTTGTGTGATGTCGGTCGTCGACTGTTACTCGTGTGGACGTGTGTGGTGATCGTGTCTTATGCGCCGTGACGTGATGTCCGCGTGGATTGCTGGTAGATTGGATTGAATGAGGTGGTGTGTCGTTGTTGTACCGATTTATGCTCACGTATTGTAAGCCGTTTCGAGTGTCGTAGCTATGGAGTTTCGTGTGTGTGCTCGGCTCGGTCGCTGTCCGATGTGACCCCGGGTGTCCGCGTCTTTCCGCCCGATATCGTGTGTACGTAGTGGTGTTCAGCGCGAATGTTGTTCGGTGTACTAGTGTTGATTCGGGTGGCTCGCGTTTGGGACCGAACGTATCGTCGGACTCCATCGTGTCGGTTGGTGCGTCGCGCGATAGTTCGGATGTATGAGGTAGTGGTGTCGCAGTCCGCTAGTAGCGTGTCCTCGTTCGTCCGCGATGATGTTGGTAATTATGGAGTGGAGGCGTCTGGCGATGTTCCAGGGGAGTCGCGATGCTAAAAGCGTGTGTCGGGGGGTCAGTAGAGTGCGATGGCTGTGCGTAGGTCCAGTCGTTGTTGGTGTCGAGTGTTGCGGCTGGGGATGGCAGTTCGTTTGGTCGGTAATGTGTGTTGTGGGTTACGACGTGTTGGCGTCGGGTTCGTGTGCTCAGGACTACAGGTCGGGGTTCTGTCTGGGTATGGTCCTGCGGCGTTTCGTTGTGTCGCTTGGTTTTGTCATTGAGGTTGGTGGTATTCGCGAGTGTAGTTTCCGAGCCGATGGAAGGTGTACAGGATATGACTGCGAATCGAATCTAAAGCCTGTCGCTGATATCATTATCCGTCTTGGTGGTTGGCCCTAGGTGGATCTGTGTTAACATACTCGATTGCGTTGGAAGACGCCACTCGCAGACACCATTGTGAAGCAGCCCCTGTTCGGATTCATTCGACGACGTGCGCGTACGCGTCTGGTTGTAGTTAGTCGAGACTACGTCGTCTTCAATCTTCTACGGCTGTTGTCTTTGGCTGATACCGTGCGTCTATTACGTCGTCGTGTCTCCGGAGTCTTACGCAGTCCCCTGGAGCGGCGCGATCACTGAGATTTGTCGTAAGCGTCTCTAACGCAAGATCTCTTCGTCCGCTTTAGTAGCTCACCGGCGCTCGATAGTGTAAGGGTGGTGTGTGTATGGTTCGTGTCGATTTCGGGCGATCGATTATGGTGGTAGCTCCGGGTGTGTCCGCGAGTTTCGCCGCGGCGTCGTGAGATCACCTGTTGGTATGTCGTATGGGTAGGTCCCAGTTAGTGCAGATCCGGTGGTCGGATTGACTTCACTCTCGTCAGCCGCCTATCGCTCGACTCCGACGGACTTTTTCGCTTCTCCGTCGGTTGTTGGCCAGTGTAGTGCTTTGTGCTTGTGCATGTCTGCCGGCTCTCGGGTGTAGGGTGTTCGAATGTCGTGGCATTTTGGTGGTGGGGTGTACTGGGTCGTGTGAAGTGATTCGCGAGCCGAGAGATCTGGGTCGTGAGCGGTGAGTGTAGGATACTCGTTAGGTTGGGATGTCTTATTGGGACGTGAGGGCCGCGAGGTTTCTCCCCCGCCCCCATACAGACTCGATCGCTACGGTACGCGCGGCGTGGTTCGAGACCGAGGATCTGCTACCTCATCGTGTGTAGCGTGATGACGTATAGTTGTGTGTCGTGTGGTAAGCGTGGATGGGTTCGGGTACGTAGTGTGATAGGGGGGGGGTGCTTGGTACTCGTGTGTCCGCCCGCGCGTGGTCCGCCGGTAGCTCTGATGTTGGCCGTGGCAACACACCGTTTTGTAAGAGCCGAACCGTCCGGTCGTGATCAGTTGTTTGTGACGCCTAATTGGATCGGCGGGGTCGTAGGGATGTCGGTGACATGTGGTGGTGCCTCTCTGTGCGTTGTCGTACTCGTTGCCGTCGTCGGGTGTGCAGGTACGTGTTCTCGTTGTGGGCGGGCGTTACGTGTCCCGAGTTCGATGTGGTGTGGTTTCCGTTGGGGTTCTTCGGGGTCGGCCGATTCCGGGTCGGTCCCGCATAGTGCTGTCCACTCTGTTGTCCTGCGCGGCGTCGATTAGGGAGCGTCGGGGAGTGGATCGCTTATCGTTAGGTGAGTCTGTATACCAGCGGCTGAAAGACTCTGGAAATGACTCTCTCCTGGATCGCTTCACGGTAAGTCGCGACGGAACTCGGGTCATCTTCGGTGTTCGTCGTGTCGGGGTCTTGTGATGTCGCTGTTTGCCGTGTGTCGGTGTCGTGGGGGGGTTCCCGGGTTCGAGGTGCTGTCGCTCGTGTGTAGTTTATAGATGGATTAGGGATTGGTTCGCTCTACGTCGCATCCACTCGTAAGTAGAGAGATCGTTTGGTGATGTCGTGTGCTGCTTGACCTTTTAGTTCGAAGAATTGGGTCCGTGTCGTAGTAGGCGTGTTTCCGCAGGTTGGTGTAGTTGTCTGAAGCGTGACCCGGTCGTTCCGATCTCCGACCCCGGTTCTCGGTCGTATTTCCTCCGATATTTCCGCGGCTGGCTCTGACATAACATGGTGTTTATGTGTGGCGGAGCTCGTGCTGGAGTGGTGAATGTCGCTTCCCTACTGTGTCTCCTGTCGCGAGGGCTGTTTCGTTTGGTTCGTGTCTAGCGGTCGGAGTTTGTCGTCGATTCGCTATCGGGCCGGATCGTTGTTGACGTGTTGTCGTAACGTTGTGTCCGTGGGTCGTGTTGTTGGTTGTTTTGTTGTCATCCGTCGTAGTGCTCTTTGTGTGGGTGGTCGGGGGGCGTTCCAGGTCGTATGCTCCGTTTGGCACTCGAGTAGTGACTCGCGTAAGTAGTCCCTCGGCTGTGTTGGTGATCGTGAGTCGTGTCGTTGTGGGGTGGGTTTGTGGTGGTAGTGAGCTAGTCGAGTGGATTCGAGTAGCGTTGCTGAAGTATCGCTTGAAGGGGGCCTTCCAAAGTGGTCGGTTCGTGACTAGTTGTGTGTCCGGGCTTTGGATAAGTCGTCCTACTTTACTAGGATAAGCGCCCTATTGGTCCCGTCGTGTCTCTTGTCGGGCGTCGCTGTCCTGTGGGGTGCTGATCGAGATCGTGGAGCGGATCGTTTGTAGTGCCCGTATATCGAGCCCCGTGATACCTAATAACCGAGTCTCCGCGTATGGTCATCGCGATGCGTTCGTCTATGATTCAAGCGACGAGTCCGTCGGTGTCGTCGTAGGTAATGCTCGTGCTCGCATATTCAGTATCCTCTTAATAAAATCCCCCCCCAGGAGCGTCTTGGGTGTGCGCCGCCGATTCGTGTGAGTAATCATCGTGTTCGTGCGCAGTCGTAGTCTGCGTGCTGTTATCGCGATGCTGAGGTTCGTAAAAGCGTGAGCGTCGTTCGTCGTGGTTCGGGAGCTCAGACTACGTGTTTACAGCACAGGCCTCGTAGGAGGTGATGCTTGCTGGCTGTCCTTCGGCCTCGTACTCGTGCGTACCGCGGCTCTTCGCCGTACCTCACCGCATCCACCGACTCAGCTCAGCTAGCTCTACACACAGACTCGTCTCCAGGCGTGCTGTGCTGCCGGTTGGTCGTATTCGTTGTCGATCAGCTCGCTCCCCGACATATGTCGTGCGTTCTATGCGTTGTGGTGATGTTACGTGCCCCTTCCGTGCCGGTGTTGACCCGACGCCCCGCTGTAACGTTCTCTAGTACCTCCATCCAATGCTCGCGTCCGAACATTCTGATGGCGTAAAGATTGGCGTTCGTAATGTGGCGTCGGCCGTGTGCTTCGTTCGCACGGCGTGTCTTTTGTGTCAGCTGTCCCGGTCTAAACCACTCACGTTTTGCGCCGGTCTCTTATTCTCTCGTGGGCTTATGGACTCTCGAGTCAGTCTTCATGATTTATGTCGATCGCCTCGTTCGACGTGCTCTCCGTGTGTGGTGCTAGTATGTGTATAGAGAGGGCTCCGGTGTCCAGTCTAGTGACCTCAGAAGTCTCACTCACATAAGTGCAGTAGATGCCGCGGAACGTCGTGCCTGTCGTGCGCTGGTACGTCGTCAGAACGTAATGTATTCGTCGTATTGGGGGGCCACGTATTCAGTGCATCGCACGCCCTACTCAGAGCCCGTTGTGTCAGCATATCGACTCGGCTGCTTCTGTCTGTCGTATGCGTTTCGTGCGAGCGGTGCGCGTCTTCTCCGTCGGCTGACAGTCGTCGACCATTCGGTACGTTCGAGCGATCTACGTATCATACGTCCGCGTATCGGTATGCAAGCGTGGGGTCATAGCGATGTGTGGAGATGCGGTCGTGGTGTGCTGGCTCTGTCTGGTGTGTATATCGCAGATGTTCGCGAGAGACCGCAGTCGTTGACTTGAGTCGGAGTGCGATCGATTGAGGTAGCTCTGTGTCCATGCTGTTGCGCGCCGTCGGTAGTTCTAGCTCCATCCTCACTGTGATGCTGTAGCGTGTGTTCTCCGGGTCGGGGGTTGGTGATTTCGTGTCGAATCGAGTCAGCTTGAGCGCGCTTTCGCGCGCGATGTCGTGGGGGGGACTCTAAGTGTCGTCGGGCCATTCGAGTTGTGGTAGACGGCTCGTCGCCTCATCGGTGCGGTCGCTGTCGTCTCGCTATGTTCGATGAAATTGATGGGCGCTCGCTCTTGACATCCGTCGCGTGATTGTGTCCACCAGTAGTAGGGTCGTGGTGCGCGCTAGTCTGCGCGTCGCGCAATCGCTACGTTGTAGCGAGATCGCGTCGGGCGGTTGTCTCGCACGAATGAGTGCTATTGGTTATAACTACTAAGCGCCGATAAGCCCCGATGCCGCGTAGTTGTGGAGTGGTGATGTGTAGGGACGTCGTGCGCTGATGAGTGTCAGAGCGCTTCAGCTGATCGCATGCTGACTCCGGAGGTTCGCGTCGATCGCTGGGGCTTTGTGTGAGAGCGTTCGTCCCCGCGCCGATAGTTCGGTCTTAGATCGTCTCGTATGGTAGCCTAGTCAGTGTCACGCATTTGAGTCGTCTCGTAGTAACCGGGACACTACCGATCGCCACGTTCCGTTCGCTGCCTGTCCGTATGACGTACGAACCCATCTCCACCGGGGTATCTCGGGTTGTCGATAGGGGGTGGTTCTGTGGTCGTATAGTCGAAAATGTCGGACGAGCGAGCTCGCCGGACGCGCGTGCTACTCTGTCTGTGTCGTTCATGAGAGTCGAACCAAACAGCCTACCCGATCCAGCGCGTGATATTGGTTGGGTGTGACGAGGTCTAGTGTGTTCGAGATGTATTGGATCGAATACGTCTGTAGGGTCGTGTTGCGCTGGTTGGGAGGGACCGTCCGGGACCTCGCGCGTCTGTGGGTGCTTGCCAATTCGGGCAGAAGTGGATTGCGCGCGACGTACAGGTCGCGCGCGCACGGTTCTATGTTTATTTTGGTTCGTCTGTCGTGTGAGGTCGTGTTGTCGTTCTGGTGGTGTCGTGGAGTCTGTTTCGACCTCTGATACTGTACGAGGTCGTGGGGTTGTGGTTCGTTGTGTAGGGGGTGTGGGTGCGCGGGCGTTGGTTGGTCTGGTGTGTATTCCAGTTGTTTGTGCCGTGGGGATTCGTCTGGAATGAGGGCGTCGGTCGGATAACTCAAAGCTAACGTCATGTCGATCGCGTCGGTCGCTGTATCGCACAGGGTTGCCGACTGGTATGCTCGAGTAAATTAGTGCTTTTTGGTACGTCGTCCGAGGCTTCTGTCTTCCTGGATCCGTCTTAGTCGGGTGTGTGCGCGCGCCATGTGGCTGGGATTGGATACGACTTGGTCGAGAGAAAGAATCTAATATCTGTGGCGTACCGGTTCGGGGCACGCAGTGGTGGGTCCGGCGTGTGGAATGACTGTGAGATGAGTCGAGTGTAGCGCGTGCGGTATCCCGCGTGTGTTAAGAGTCTCCGTTTGCAGTTGGGTTATTCCGTGGGGGCTGTACATTGAGCGCGTGTCGTGCTCTCGGTCGGTGTGTGGTTGCCGCGGCCGTAGCACGTGCACCGTCGCGGAATTGATTGCCGCGACGTTTGTCAAACCCGTCAGGAGAGCGGTCTCCCAGAGCGCCGGGAATTGCGCGACGACTGTGGCATATTTGTCGGCGTCTACCGAGCCGTAATCATAGGTGAGGTGGGAAGCGAGGGTAATTAGCTGGGTGGGTACCGGTGTGGGTGTCGGTTCGGACCGAAGTGGTTGTTGAGAAGCAGACTTGTCCGTATGTCCGTCGTGGTGCAGTAATTAATCCTACGCGTGCCGAAGTAGCGGAGGATTCTTGCTGAGGGCGAAGGGTTCCGATTCGAGTCCCGTCCTGTTGTGGATGTTGCATACTCTGCACGTGGTTGTGAGGCGCCGTGTGGGAGGTGCTGACACGTTGTACAACTCGGTCATCGAGGATCGGGGGTCTGGCCTACAGAGTAAAGGCGATCGATGCGCAGCGACGACGATCGCGTAGGCTGCGTGAGTGTCGTGAGTGGTGTCGCGGGTTATCCGGTCGCGGTTGTGCTCTTGCACGTGGGGTAGAGGTCGTTGTACGAGGTAAGGTGTGAGAGATCTTCGTGTCGAGTCGGGGTAGATCGCAGCTTCGCGGGCCTGTACGATAGCTGTGCGTCGCCGGTTTGTGGGTGGACGTCGCGTGTCCGCCGTGCGTGGTGTTCCGTTGGGGTGGAGTCGAGCGTTCTGGGCGGTGGTCGATTGGGGTAGTTGTGGAGGGTGGTGTCGTGTGGACGTGGAATTGTGCGTGTACACGATCTGGAAGCGGTACGGGATCGTTGGGATCTGACGAACGATCGTCGTCGTGTGATGGTCGTGTAGGCTACTATTGTGGGCAGGGTCGCTGTCGGCGGTGGGTGATTGCCATCAGTAGTCGGGTGGTTTGTTGTCGCTCTGGTGCTGGTTCGGTCATCCTAGCTGGTCCGGTCGCGTGTAGATTCGCGAATATGTGGTCAGTGTCCGCGTGTATCGTGGATGGACTCGTCGAGAGTCGGTCGTGCTCGGGGGTGAGTGTGGCGTGGTCGGGGTAGTGCGTTGTGGGTGCCGTGTTCTCAGGATCCCGTTGTCGGTCGCGTGGCGGTACGGGCGTTGCAGAGAGTCGTCGTCCGTTGTCCGGGAGTGATGTTGGTGCGAGGGCTGTTGTCCGTGATAGTATGGGGAGTTAGGAGCGATCGCCGCGAGCGGGTGTGAGTGTCCGAGTAATTCGTGTCGGTTCGTCGTCTGTCCTGGTGTACGTCGCAGCTCTAGAGACCCGCAGGCTGTAGGTGCGTCTCGTGTTGTCCTCGGGGTCGAGGGGAGGGCGATGTGGGTGACCGTGGTTGGTGAGGATTCGGTGCGCGATGATTTGTGTTCGTAGGTCTTGGCGATCGTCTGACTACAAGGCTAGATGCGCGTGGTACCGTCGTGTTGGTGTGTGGCGAGTGGTGGGGTCTGGGGTTCGGCTATATGTTCGCTAGGGTTTCTGAAGGTGAGTGTCGTCCTTTCGGGGACGATGTAGAGTCAGGGACGAAATCGTTTGGGGGTCGTAGAGCGGTGGGCTTTGCCTCTTATATCGTTCCGAAGTCAGAGTATCCCACGTGTGGGGTTGCGGTGTGTATGGGTCGTGGGGTGAGTGTACTCCGTGTACCTCAGTATGTGCGAGGCCGGGCGAGCGAGGTGCCGTAGTCGCTATTCGATCGTGGTGGTTCGCCGTAGTTGTGTGGAATTGCGTGGTGGGTGTGTGTGGGGGTAGTTGGAGTCGCCGTGTGGTGGGACGTGGTGGTGGGGTCGCTGGAGAGTTGAGCCAAGTCGTGATGGGGTTCGGGACGTGCGTGTCGTGTAGCGTCGTAAGTGTGCGTTATTGTGATTATGAGTCTGCGCGCGCTCCCCTTGAGCCTTGTGATGTCGCCGGGTGGTCAGCGGGCGATGCTATCGGAGCGCGCTTGTCGAGCTGGCCCTCCGAGCTGTGAGTGATGTGTCGTCGAGCATGTACTCGCGCCGTTTCCAGTTGGAGATGCGGGTCAAGTTGGGGGTGCGGTCGCGCGGGGTTAGTCCGTGTTGTTGTGGTTGTCTTCGGGTAGCGGCGGGCGTGGTGGCGTGGGTTAGGTCGTGGCGTCGTTGTACGTGGGCGATGCTGTCCCGTGTGTGATGGCCTTTCGAGTGCAGCGGGCTGTCTCTGATCGCTGGTTCCTTCGCGTCGTGTCGAGTGTGTTCTTTAAATCTTACGACGAGGATACATCGTGGATTCGATACCAGTGTGCACGTTGGATAGTGTCGTCAGAAGTGGAGGGGTATTGTAATTCGTGGTCGGAGTTGAAGTCTCAGTACTGCGATGCGTGGCTGATACGGCGTGTCTCCGATGGGGTCCGTTAGATCGAGAGTTGCGGCTATGTGGACGGCGAGAGGCACTGGCGTGTCTGTGAGCTGCATAGCGTTCGTATCGGTGGTTTGTCGTAGGCTGTCACCGTGGGCGATGGTGATCGCAGAGGCGAGTCGCGGGTGCTTGGCGTGAGGAGGCCGTGTGATGCTTTGTGTGCTCGAGGGTGTGTCACGCTAGGTCTTATGTCCTGTGCTCGCGACTAGGCATACGGTGTTAAAGGTCAGGTCGCGTCGCGTAGCGGGCGTGTGTCGGGCATGGGTTGTCGTAGATCGGTCGACTCCATGTCGAATCAAAGTGGATAGAGCGTCTCAATCGGTGTTGTTTGGCGTTGAGTATCGGTCGTCGGGTGGGATTCGGTATTATGGTTCGCGTGTACTGATCCTTGCATATTCGGTCCATAGTATGTTGTCGGAGTTTAGTAATCGCCCTTAGTGCGTTAAGACGCTTGGTCTCTGAAATCAGGGTCAAGAGTGGTCGTCTGTGGTGGATGAGCTTGCAGGAAGTGTCGTCAACCTGCCGTCCCCCTGATCTGGGGGTGGTGTTAAGCTCGCTCGTGCTCATAAGTATGTAGGCTGTTCATGTCGTCTCAGTGAGTGGTCCATCTCCCCCCTAGTTGAGGACTACTCCGGAGCCAGTTCGCATGCGACGTATGATCGGTCGTCGCCGCAATTTTGTTCCACAGTATCGTGAGTAGTGTGATTTCCGTCCCTGTCGGGTCGGAGTGGTCATGATGACATGCACTTGTGCCGTGATTGTCACTAAGGTTTGGCGAGGCGCGTCGGAGTGCTATGTCGCGGCGATTGTGGGGCCTCCTAGATCGTAGCTGGGTCGGCTTCGTGTGAGATGTCCACTTTAAGGCGCGTTTTCTCATGTCCTAAGTGTTCGACATTATGGGCTTCGCTACCCTCACCCGAGCGTTACTGTCCGTGGCTTTGATGGAGTAGCGTACTATAGTCTCTCGATTGACGAATGCGATAGGTTTAGCACGTGACGCTCTAGCCCGTCGGTGAGAACTCCGCCGCTATTGTCGGTGGTATGGTCGATTCGTGTCGTGGGGGTTCGCGTCGCGAGCTGTGTGCGTTGTGGGGATCTGGCTGCGTGTGTGGTGTGCATGTGGAGTGTCGTGAGTGGTGAGGGGGGTCGTATGGCGTGGTGTGTCGTTTCGTCAAACCGTTCTATTTCTCGTGGCTATAGAATCACCCTGT